AAGTAGGTCTTTGCACTTGAAAAACATGGCTGCTCAAACACGTTGTCCCCAAGAAGAAGAAATTATTTGCAGATTCCTTAAGTGCTTTAAGCTGGACCAAGGGTTTGGCATTTGCCTTAAGCCTTTTACCCAGTTCCTTATGGGGAAAGCCTTTCTGCCTGCAGGTGGGTCTGGCTTACCTTTCCTCGAGGCCTCGGAAACTGTTCCCAATGATGACCATCCTGGAAAGGGCATCTACGGACCAGTTGCTCCACAGCAGATTGTTGTACAGAGCTGTACCACAGTGTGGCATGTAGAAGACGGTGGGCTGGCCTTGGACACTGTGCTTGCCTTCCTGTGGAAACAGAATGGGTGCTGAGGAGCTGAGTGCAAAGCCTGACTCTTCGGAGCGTGGCTGTGAGTGATGTAAATGGGAGCTAGATGGTGGTACAGGAAAGGAGCCCAAGCTCACTTTATGCCATGTGATGATTGTCCCCATGTCCTACATTCCAGAACCCTGTATCACTGCAGATCCTCTTCAAAGTGGGGTCAGTCACCCCTTAACAGCTGTCTGGCCACACCTCCCTCTCCCCACAGCTTCCCTTCTGTCAGGCACGAGCACGTTGGTTTCCTGTGGCTGCCTCCGCAGGAGCTGCTGTGGTCTTGGACACAGCCCTGGAGGCTCTCGGTGCACACGCTAACCTTGCTGCTCAGCTTGGTCCCTACAGCTTAGAGGCGCCTCAGGGCTCGCTCATTTGCTCTGTACAAAGCCAGCACTCGAAAGGCTGGTCTGAAGTGAGTGTTGCAGGGTCTCCCCACTCACTGCTCAAGCAGCAGGATCATGAGGCTGAGACCATCCTGGGCTCCAGAGACCTTGTCAAAGCCAGGAGGGGTAGGGTCAAGGTGCTTGGAACTAGAGTTACAGATGGTTGTGAGCCTCCACATGGGTGTTGAGAATTTTTTTTTTTTTTTTTTTCCCCAGACAGGGTTTCTCTATGTAGCTTTGGCGCCTTTCCTGGAACTTACTCTGTAGACTAGGCTGGCCTTGAACTTACAGATCCGCTTGGCTCTGCCTCTCTGGGATTAAAGGTGTGCGCCACTACCGCCTGGCTAGGTGTTGGGAATCTTAAGAGCAGCCAGTGCTCTTAACAGCTGTAACATCTCTCCAGCCCTAGACTTAAGGGTTTTGCAAACCTAATACTAGTTCATGGTGCTTATTCAGGTTTTCACGGTGGATCTAAAATGAAACTGACTACTGGGCTTCCATGGGCTCTAGGAAGGCCAGCATGCTGGGGCCAGGGGAGGCACTGTCCACTGCCAGAGGTGGGTGGCCTGGAGGAGATGAAAACACCTACCTCATTCTCACTGAGGACAGTCACCCCGAGGGAAGCGAGTACTGAAACTTCAGCTTGGCTGAACAGAGGGTCATAGACCCAGCAGCGGCTTCTGGGGATCTGGATGGGAAGAGGGAGGGCCGCTTTGGTCAGTTCCAGGTACACCTCCACCATACCAGGTGCAGGAGAAGACCACAAAGCTCACCTGGCACTTCTCCAGGAAGAGAAGCATAAAAGCGAGCTGGGTCCGAGCAGTGACGCAGGAGGCAAAGTTCCCCAGGCCGTAGCACACACATTTCACAGGGCAAGTGCTCGTGGCCAGGGGCTCTCCCGACCCGCCAGGTGATGAGCCGAGGCACAGCCTTCCGAGGGCTTCCGTTAGGCCCTGCAGCTGCTCCAGCTGTTTTCTAAGACACTGGGTGATGGTTTCTGAAAGATCATTACCCCAGACAGTCAGAGCATGCACTCTGACCCCTGGAGCCGGGACAGAAGGGCAACAGGCCTCAACACCCAGCGTGAAGCTGCCTGAGACTGTCCAGGCTGCCGAAGGTGGGATCCTGAACTCTGCTGCCCCAAACCTAAGAGCGGGTTAAAAGGTTTACATCTAAAACCACGTGACTGAGACGTTTGTGCTGATTGTCGGAAGCTCTTGAAAGGTGCGCAGGATGCTGATGACCTCTACAAAGGGAATGGAGTGCTAGGTTCAAAACCACTGTCTCCTAAAAAGCCCTCCTTTTAGGTTACTGTCATAAAAAAAAGAAGCTATTTGTTCCAGCACTAAGCAAGCTGTTTTTGCTCACCAAGGTGGCAAAGTTATCTTTGCACAGGTTCCCCAGGTGAGGAAAGGCTGGACAGGAAACTGTCTATGTCCTTGCTGGGAGGAGAACCCTAGAACGTTTTTTTGGGTAGTAGCTTGATGCTGCCTTTCATTTAACAATCCAACTCTGGGACTGCAGCCTGCAGAGCAGATGCAGCTGAGTGATTGAAACGGGAGCCTTTGATACAAGGCGTAAGATGACCTGTCTTTTCATCTGTCTTTCACAAGGAACCATGCTGACACACACTGTATTGAGGACATATTAAGGTCTTCCCCGTAATGTCAAGGGAAAAGCAGGATAATTATAAAACGTAGCCATCCTGATAATGACTAACAGCATTTATTGCCTTCGGTGTGAGAGCCAAGCACTCACCATCTTACTTAATTCACAAAACTACACTGCCATCTATATATGTACTACCATATATATATACATACACACACACATATATGTATATGTATATATATATATACACACACACTACCATCTCCACACAGATTTAGCTGTGCCAAAGACACAACTCTGAGGAAGTCAGCATTAGAACATATCAAAGCAAGGCCATGAAGCAAAATGCCCTTCAGTGAAGAATGTCCTTTGCCCACCTTCAGGCAGGCCCTCCTTCCACTCCCATGCCACTTCCCCCTCAACTCCCCACCCCCTACCCCCCCCACCCCCCATGCCCAGTGATACTCACCCAGTGCTGAACTGCAGAAATCAGAGATCCGCAGGTCCTCCCTGAGGAAGAAATGGCATGGTCATCTCCCTTCTCTTTGGGGCCATCCTAGCCCTGACCATGAGCCAGATATGTGGAGGATGTAGGACCCTCCAATGTAGAACTAGCCCTTACTGAGTGACATACCCATGGCCTGGATACAGGCTGTTGGGATAAAAAAAAAAGGACCCTGGTTTCTCAGGGATGGTCTGGGTCTGTTCTGCATCTTTGGCCTGGCCAAGAGCAGCTCAATGAATACTGGGAAGTCCTTGAATTTAGGCTTTCTATTCATAGGGGTTTGCTTCTCTCAAGACTGTAGAGCAGCAGGAGGGACTAAATGAGCGACCCAGCAGGCACTCCATAAAGAGCTTTCCCATTATAATTACAATCCAAAAGGGAAAGTCCAAGGGTCTGGTCTGGTCTTTATTCCAAGTCAACTGGTTCCCACGGCCTAGAATTAAAATATGGCAGAGGCAGTGTTTAGGGGACCCTGAGAGGAGAGGAACTGCCCCAAGGCAACCTACATTCCCCATAAGGGAAAGGAGAACCTATTACATTAAAGCTCTTTGGAAACTCTAGGTAGTCCTGGATCAGATTCTCTGTGCTCGGGAGTCAGGAGTGAGCACCTCCATCTCACTGATCTTCAGGGGCTGTAGAATTCCTGCTGGCTTCTATCTGCCCCCTCGGCCACTCGGCCAGTGATTTCTGTTCAGAGATAACTTCTGGGTCACCACTGCTTTGTGAGTCTAACTTGGTGCCCGCATCACAGAAGTGTCATCTGAAATGGTACCCAAGTTTGTAACACGGCCCTGCAAGACCACAACTATAGTAAGGCAAGAACATGGAGTAGTCTGTGTATGGTGGGCACTGTCTATGTGCCCTCCAAGAAGGTATAGACCAAGCTGCGGGGAGATGGTTATGCAGTAGAAGAGTCCAGTGCAATGGAGAGGTTGAGGTTGGAAGTCATCAAGCCCTGGGCCTGCAACAATGACCTTTGTATGTCTCTTAGAGTGCCCAAGATCCTAATAGGGCTGTGAAGCATGTAGGATGCCAAAGTCTGTGCACACAGCAGCTGCTCGGTAAACCACTGATGCCAATGTTGAGAACTGTGTTCATGTAGCAGCCTCGATTTACAATACCGTTAACAGCCAATGTGGGGTGTGGCCCACACCGGTAATCACACCATTAGGAGAGACAGAGGCAGAAGCTCCTCCAGTCCCAGGCCTGCTGGGCTAGCCTAAGCTATCACAAACCCAAAACCGAAGCTGGGAAGATGGCTCATTGGGTGAAGGCACTTGCCACCCAGCCTGACCATCCTGGGTTTGACCATCCTGACCCATGCAGTCAAAGGAATAGTCCTCTGATCTCCACATACGCACCGTGACACACGCCCCCTCAACCTCAAATAAAGAAAACCCAAACCAACCAACTAAAGAAAACCATCAACACAGGGCATAGAATCAACATGAACAGGAAATCCGCGCCCTGGAGCTTACCAGGTGCCAGGAAGGGCTTTACGGTCAACACATCACCTAATCCTCTCAGCAGCCCTACGTAAGGTTTCCACCTCTATCTCAAAAAAGGCAAACTGAGGCACTGCATGGCAAGCTGTTGTAACTGCAGTCGCGGCAAAAATGGCAGCTTCACCGAGAGCTTGCGACACACCGCGACCCGAGAGGAGCTCGGCCTTCCCAGCGGGTTGGCACACCCACTTGGGGAAACTGAGGGTGGAGTGGACTCCAGGCGCGCTGCACTCACTCGGCCTCCCGCAGGCGGCGCCGCACAGCCTCGCCGTCCGCCTCGGGCTCGGCTCGGGGCCCGCGGGCCCGCCCCTCGTCCCGCCGCGGCCGCCTCCCCGCGGGGCGCTTCTTCCGCGGAGCCACGGCGTTCCAGGGCTCCGGCGCCGCCGCCGCCGCCGCGACCGCCGCCATGCCGCCGACGTCACCACCACGCGCCAGAGCGGCCGCCCTGCCACTGGCGTCACAAGCCCGCGCCGCACTCGCACGTCATCGCCGGGCTCCTGGAGGCGGGGGGGGAGGTGGGGCCGCGCGTGATCGCGGGGCTGCCGGGAGCAGGTACCGGGTGCTGTCGCGCAGGCCGAACGGGGCCCGGGCTCCTGGCGGGTGGGAGGGCGGGCGGGAGGGCGTGCGACCCGGGCGGGGAGGGCCGCAGCTTCCCGGCTCCCGGCTCCTGACCCATCGAGGCCACTTCCCACGCCTCCGTCCCCGGACCATCCTCCTGCGGTCACCTCCCAAGCTGCCAGGCCCTTTTCAGGTCCCTGCCCACAAGATGATCGCTGACCTCCTCCGGACCTTTGAGAACCAGGCCTTTGGGAATGGGAGGAGTGGGTTCCAGGACCCCGGATGCCCCTGCACAGACGCCCTGCGCGCTCTCTAGAGCGAGGTGTCTGTAACTGAGATGACAGGTCTTTAGGCCTTCTCAGGTGTGTAGGGGATCTCCGTCAAGGCACTTCCTTGTTCCTCAGGGACTTTGTTTGCTTTTAAGACGGTCTTACCCCGTAGCCGTGGCTGGCCTGGAACTAACTCAACAGTCTGCCTCCCTTTACCTCCCGGGTACTGGGATTAAAGGCCTGACTCCTTCCCCAAGACTGTAACACAACTGTCTGTGTTTCCACAGATGGAAGACTGGTGGCCAGCTTTGGAGACCGTGCCCCTGAGGGAATTAACCGGAGAAGTGGGAATAGGGTTATAGATGAAAATTCCTGAAGGGTTGTCAAGTGGAGGGATTAAACCATTTTTGTGTTTCCTCCTAGTGTTATCCGGGCAGTGCAAGACTGCTGTCACAGATAGTCATTGTAACTCCTTGAACCACCCGTTTCTGGGCCGTTCCCTCAGAGGAACCAGGGAGTAAGTGAGGCCAGGCTCCCTTCTGACTGGGTGTTCTGTGATACACTGAGTGGTCTTCTCCCCGTGGGAGCTTGAAATGAAGGGCACTCTGAAAGTTTCCTTCTCGCACCCTGAAAAGCTGCACACATTCAGATTAGGCTTTCGAGTGCTGGTTCCACTGTGCAACCGTTTGATTGATCTGTGTGGCTGCTTCTTCTTCTTCTTCTTCTTCTTCTTCTTCTTCTTCTTCTTCTTCTTCTTCTTTTTGGTTTTTTCAAGACAGGGTTTCTCTGTGTAGCTTTGCGCCTTTCCTGGAACTCACTTTGTAGACCAGGCTGGCCTCGAACTCACAGAGATCTGCCTGGCTCTGCCTCCCGAGTGCTGGGATTAAAGGCGTGCACCACCACCGTCCGGCCTGTGTGGCTTCTTAACACCCAGAACGCTCACACTTGTTATTTCATTTCCCTTCAGCAAGGCTGACAATGGTTTCTGCTGAAAAAAATGAAGGGGCTTTGACGTTTCTGCTACCCAATCTCTTTTTATTTTGAAACATAGTTTTGAAAGCTGTTTTGAAATCAACCATTCATTGAACCTTGTGGGTCACATGCATGCTCATGGGTTTCTGAAAGAATTGACTCTTTGTGTTTTACTCAGAGACACTGGAGTGTGAACTGGAAACTTCAGAGCATTCGAAGGGACCCACTGGATGGCTTTGAACTATTCTAAAGTTAGATCCTATCCGAAGCTGCCTCTGCCCATCGGCTGTGCTTCTGTCTCCCGTGGACCTCCCTGAAAGGAGTTGGAAGAGGTCCCAGTGCAGACAGCCAAATGGAGGCTCCTGAAGCTAGACTACAGACCTGACTTGTTGAGTGGATTTAGTTCATCTTCAGTCTGTTTCCTCCTGAACTTCTCAGAGATGCAGAGAGATTTCTGGAAATGAACCTGCCCCGAAGGGAAGTTACATTTTCATTTTGAATGAAAAGTATGCAAGTGACAGAAACCACCCGACTCGACCACACCTGGAATCAGTGGACTGGGGACACCAGTTGGGGACAGAAAAGTGCTTCTAGTAGGAATACCAGATGAAGAGGATGAGGCCAGCTGGAGATTAAATGGCCACCGCCACTCCCCCAGAGACAAAGTCAGCCTCATGGTGAGTGTCAAGGCCTGCCTGAAGCTGCTTCCAGGATCATTTGAGTGAACTGGAAGCTTGGGCCAGCTAGTCTTGCTGTTCTCCTGGGAACAACCTCATTAAATGTGGAAGCCATTTCTCTCCAGAGAAATGTGTTCAGACCTTGCAAGTTTTGGGCTGGGGATATAGCCCAGTGGTAGAGTGTTCTCCTAGCATTTGAGAAGCCCTGGGTTCAATCTCTAGTACAACAAAAATAAGCAAAACCCAGAACACCTTGCAAACTCCACCTCAGGCATTGTAGGTAGATGATTGCGATGGTGCAGCCAGTCTTCATGGTCACCTGGGTGTGGCTGTGTCTGTGGAGAGGCAGGATGGTTGCAGTTGAGGTTTGGCCAGTCTGGCTCCTAAGGCTGTTGCGCAACATCTGCCTGCAACTCGGTTCCCTCATGTAGCTTTGTCCTTTTTACTAACCTGGTTTGGCAAATGCTCCTGAGGTGACAGTTGTTAGGTGTGGCTGAACGAGACTCAGCAGACCTAGCAATACGTGTGGAGCCATTCCAAAGGATGCCTAAGGTATAGTGTACCTGGAGGAGCAGGGCTGATTTCAGAGTATGGGAAGATGGAGGATGGGTGGTCCACAGCAGGCTTTGAAAGTTCACAAATGCATTTGATTGCCATTAAACCTGTGTCTGGCCAGTTGCACATTGAGTCCTGGAGCTTGAGGACGTGGATGGTTTTGGGTCAGGTGTCTGTCATGAGGAAGGTGAAGTAGGAGGTTCAGGGGAGGGCCTTGAGTCCTGTGAGAAAGCTCACAGTCTTATGTCCCCTTTGTGGGCTACTGTGGCCTGGTTGGTATGCTTTCTGAGTCTAAGAACTAAAACTGAAGCCCAGTTTCTGCCTGGCTCACCTTGTGCAGTCAGGTGATGTCTACCTCAGGGCAAGAGTCTCCAAATCCAGACGTTCTGACTGGGGCTGTAGTCCCAGAACTTGGGAGGGAGGCAAAGGGAGGAGGCTGTGGAGTTTGAGGTCAGCCTCGACTACAGAGTGAGACCTGTCTGGGTTGGCTGAATGTCTTTAGAAAAAGTGCAGAAGGTACTAGAGACTCCAAAGGAAGACCCCTTTGCACCGAGGAGTCTGGAAGGGTGGGGAGGGAGCAAGATTGAGCTGCTGGCAAGGTTTTGAAGGTCAGAGAGGAGTCTGGTGTTTTTCTGTCCGCTTTCAAAGGCTACTGTCTTCTCCTTGTAGGTGAGCACGTCTGCTGCAGGCCCTCCATAGACATCTGTTAAATGAGTCCATGAGTTCTCAGGAAAGGGTTCCTCCTTCCCACCAGCATGCTTAGAAGTACAGTGAAGACACCTCAGTCTGTGTTGTTACCAGAACCCAGAGACAGCAAGAAAGCATGGCAGGCAGCGTGCTTGTACAGCTAGGGGTGCTGGTTTCTACAGCGCTGGTAGGGGGTGAGCTGGTTCCCTGCGGGACGGACAGCTGCCGCCTCTGGCAGATGGACTGATGGCTGCGCACAGGCGTATCTTTAGCCTGCCTATGCCGCACTTGCGGTGGGTTTATCTGCTTGTGGCTGCTGGACTCTTCCTGGCAGCTGAGCATCAAGCCCTCCCAGAGCCAGAGACAAAAGAGGAAGTGTCCTGAACTTGTCACTGTCACCAGCGGGGACCCATGGCTCTGTTCTGTTCTCTTACCAGGTGGAACTACTTTTTTCTGTATGATGGTTCCAAGGTAAAGGGAGAAGGAGACCCAACCAGAGCTGGCATCTGCTACTTCTACCCTTCCCAGGTAAGCAGGGCCGTCAATACACATGGCCTGTTTTTTTTGTTTTGTTTTGTTTTGTTTTGAGACAGGGTTTCTCTCTGTAGCTTTGGAGCCTGTCCTGGAACTCGCTCTGTATTCCAGGCTGGCCTCGAACTCACAGAGATCCACCTGCCTCTGCCTCCCGAGTGCTGGGATTAAAGGCTCGTGCCACCACCGCCCAGCAGCACATGGCCTCTTTTAAAACATGTTGGGGATGAAACTCAGGGCCGCGTGCATGCTCTCTGCCTTCTCCCCAGCCCTCTTTTTATTTATTTACCTTTTGAGTTTCGAGACAGGTTCTCACCGAGTTCTCGGCCTGCGTAGCCACTGGGCTGACAGGCCCATGCCACCGGCAGTACACTTGTCTCTGTCTCAGTTCTCAAGCGGTTCAGTCCTCCTCTCTTCCCAGCTGTAACTGTAGGAGTTGTTTGTCCGTCTCCTGTTCTCAGGTCTTTGGTCAGCTGGTTTCAAGACTCTCTTATTCACACAGAAGAGGGCGTTATAAACTCTGACATGCAAACTTTATGGGCCCTCACATCTCTTACTGCTTTCCCTGGAGACGTGTAAAGCAGGTTCCAGACACTGTGTCATCTTACCCATGGGTATCAAGTCTTGCGTCTAACGGAAACGTGCATTGTGTCGTGATCACACCCGAAGTGACCATGAGTGGTAGCACTTCAGTGTCCTCAGGTGCTGCAGCTAGACTCTAATTGTTGCCGTTTCTTTGGCGTCGCTCTGGCGACCAGCCTTGCCTGCCTCCCTCTCCTCCCCTCCCCCGTCCCCCTTGCCAGGACCCTAACAACACCCACAGCCTGCTTGCTTAGTCTGTGCTAAGTTCCATTTTTACTATCAGTCCTCACACACCAGTCATCCTGTATTCTCGTTCCCTCAGATTACCGAGCTGCCTGTAAAATGCCGTGCTGTGGGTTGGGATGATCACCTCCTCGTGGTGACATCAAGTGACATCTGTCCACTGATTTCCTTTCACTTTCCATTTGCAGCAAACTCTAGACCCCTGGTGAGGTCCACGGTCCCTTCTGTGAGGCAGGATGTCATCATGGTGGCAGGTGCACTTCCTGTTACACCCTGTCCTGTGTGCTTGTGACATGGTTCAGGGAAAGTGTGCGGCCTGTGTTCACTGTGGGCTTCTCTACCCCAGCAGCCATTCGTGACTCCATGAAGGCCGGACTCGAGAGTCACCAGGGCTCCACCATTCACTCTCCTTGTGTGGTGGGAAGAGGGTTGGAGCTAGTGTCTTGCCCTATGACCCAGGCTGCTCTTAACTCTTTTTTTTACATTTATTTTATGCATATGAGTGTTTTGTCTACATATATGTATGTGTCTGGTGCCCATGGAGGGCAGAAGAGGGTGTCACATCCCCTGGGACTGGATGGTTACAGATGATGTGAGCCACCATGTGGATACCAGTGTAGTTGGTTGGTTTTTCTGTTTTGGGAGACCTGCCATCCAGCTCCTAAATAAATCACACATGGGGGCTTATTCTTCATTATAAATGCCCGGCCTTAGCTTGGCTTTTTTCTTGCCAGCTTTTCTTAAATTATCCCATCTACCTTTTGCCTCTGGGCTTTTTCCTTTTCTTATTTCTGTGTATTACTATATCTTACTTTTACTCTTACTCCATAGCTGGCTGGGTGGCTGGCCCCTGCCGTCCTCCTCTCCGTCCTCTCTTGCTCTGTCTTCATTTTCTCCCAGGTCTCTCCTTCTGTTTCTTCTCTCTGCCTGCCAGCCCCTCCTATCCTCTCTCCTACCTCGTTATTGGCTGTTCAGCTCTTTATGAGACCATCAGGTGTTCTAGACAGGCACAGTAACACAGCTTCACACAGTCAAACAAATGCAACATAAACAAAGTAACACACCTTAAAATACTATTCTATAGCACAATGGGATTGGAACTCCAGTTCTTGGAGGAGCAGCAAGTGCTCTAAACTGATGAGCCGTCTCTCCGGTCCCTGCCTTTGAACTTTGGATTCTTTTGTGTCAGTGGGATTACAGGCATAGACCACCAAGCCCAGCTGTGGCTGGTTTTTTTTTTTTTTTTTTTTTTTGGTTTTTCGAGACAGGGTTTCTCTGTGTAGCTTTGCGCCTTTCCTGGAACTCGCTTTGGAGACCAGGCTGACCTCGAACTCACAGAGATCCGCCTGCCTAAGCCTCCTGAGTGCTGAGATTAAAGGCGTGCGCCACCACCGCCCGGCTGTTTTTTTTATGATGATTAAAAATGTAAAAACTGGCCGGGCGGTGGTGGCGCACGCCTTTAATCCCAGCACTCGGGAGGCAGAGCCAGGTGGATCTCTGTGAGTTCGAGGCCAGCCTGGGCTACCAAGTGAGTCCCAGGAAAGGCGCAAAGCTACACAGAGAAACCCTGTCTCGAAAAAAAAAAAAATGTAAAAACTGGCTGGGTGGTGTTGGTGCACACCTTTCATCCTAGCACTGGGGAGGCAGAGGCAGGTGGATCTAGGTCTGCATGGGGTGAGTTCCAGCGCAGTCAGGCTACACAATAAGACACTGCGTTAACAACGACAGCACAACCAAAGCACACACAGCCAGCTAGCCAGACAGCTCAGCAAGGCAAAGCACAGCCAAAGTGAATCTCCAGAACCCACAACGGAAGAGAAAATTGGCTTCCAGAATGGTCCTCTGATCTCCACACAGGTGCTACGGTGCATGTGCCCGACTCCCACATGAGCCCACGATACGATAGTCATCACAAAAAATTAAAAAATAAAACAACTATCTTCGGCCTGGGAAAGTGGGGAGCAGATGCTGGTATGCAAAGAGCAGTCAGGTCAAACATTGTCTGCTTCTCCCACAGACCCTTTTGGACCAACAGGAACTGCTCTGTGGCCAGCTTGCTGGAGTTGTGCGCTGCCTGTGGGACCTTTCTGGGACCCCGCCCACGCTTATCCGTCTGCGGAAGCTCAAGTTTGCTGTCAGGGTGGATGGCGACCACCTGTGGGTAAGTTAAGTCTGCAGACACGGGGCTGGTGCTGCAGTGCTGTGGTGACAGCTTCTGCTCTTCCGTGACTGCAGCTGCTCCTCAGGCCTCTGTGCTCTCTGAACACCGCTGTGATGGAGGGGAGAACCTGCCAGGACCTCACGGTGTCAAGCACGTGCTCTGCCCCAGAGCTACACCACAGCCCCCTCCAAAACACATCAGATATGCCCTGCTCTGGGTGTGGCAGATTTCTTCATATGATTTTTACTTATTTATATTTGCACATGTCTGGTGTATGCATGTATATGTGCTTGTATGTGTGCATGTGTATTTGTACTATGTATGTATATATATGGAGACCCGGTTTGTAGCACGCCTAATGCTTTTCCTTGGTGAGCTGCTGTTCTCCGTTTTGATGGTGTCTAGTCAGTGTTTCCTTCTGTTGCCTTCTGCAGCTCGAGAAACTGCTGCCTACTATTTTGGTCTCTAATTTTTAAAAAAAGTTTGATTGTTTTTGTTTCTCACTTTCTGTTTCTAATCTCACCTGGATTTCTGTTTGTGGGTGGTGTGAGTGGAGGTCAAGGGTAATTTTTTTCCCATCTGGTTATCCAGCATTCCTGTGCCGTTGATGAGTTCCCTAAGCACCTTTGTCATAAGTCAGGTGACTGTGAGCATGGGTCTGGGTCTCTTGGAAGATTCAGCAAGTCCTGCATGCTGTGATTTCTGTAGTTTTGTGTGAGTTGGGATGGACAGTGTCTCTCCCGAAGTCAGTCCCTTTCCCAGGGGCTCTGGCTGGGATGCTGTTGCATTTTCATTGCAGTTAGTTTGTGGGTGTGACCGGGAGTCCTGAGTGCAGAGGCCGGTCCTGGGGTGGGGGTGGGGGTCCCACTTCATACCACAGGACAGCTTGGGCTTCTCTCCGTCCAGGTTCCATGATGATGTCACATTTCTAGTGACTTCCTTCCATCCCCTTGGTTCTAAGGCACCTAACACTGGCAGGCTCACATTCCAGCTAAGCATCACCTTCCAGAGAAGAAGGCGCCGGCCTCAGCATCACTGACTTAGAACTGCAGTGGCTGTCGCCTCCTGCGCTCCATCCCTGCAGTGGCTGTCACAGCATCCCGTTCACATGCAGTGTCACAGCACGGCCTCAGCACACGGCCGAAGGGAGGCCAGCACAGGGGCAGCTCACAGAGCAGGCCTGGGGAGTCACGTGGATCTGGAGTGCACTTGAGCTGAGCAAGGACCTGGAATGAGCAGGAATTGCTGGGAGACAGAAGAGCTTGGTGTCTGTGGAGGTCGGCCTTGCTGCAGTGGGGTCAGCATTTAAGTTAATCTCCCACGTCAGCACACGCAGCTGCAGGATATGTTACAGTGTTGTCATGCACAGATGTCACGTCACTTGTTCTCTGCTCCTGTTTTATGTCCTGTGTTCCATCGTCATCTCAATGTCCATCCTCCCTAAGGGGTCTTCTTGGCCGAGTGTGGTGGTGCATACCTTTAATCCCAGGATTCAGGAGGCAGAGGCAGGCAGATGTCTGTGAGCTCCAGCACAGTCAGAGCTACATAGTGAGACCCTGTCAAAAAAAAAAAAAATTTCCTCTTACCTCCTAATGATCTCCGTAATCCCCTTTCTGATTTCATGGCTATGAACCTGGAGAGCTGACTCAGTGGTTAAGCTTTTCCCGAGCACCTGGGTTCAGTTCCCAACACATGGTGGCTCACAACTATCTGTGACTCCAGATCCGGGGGATCTGACACCCTCTTCTGGCTTCCTCAAGATGTGTGTAGTAGAAGGAGAGAACCTACTCTTGCAGGTTGTGCTCTGACCCCTACCTCCCCCAAATAGAAAAATATATCTAAGTTCTCTATAGGACACATGTGGTATTTCTCTTTCCCAATTTTTTTATTAAATTTATTTATTTATTTTACATCCTGACGGCAGTTTCCCTTCCCTCCTCTCCTCCCAGTCCCCCTGCCCCTGCCCCTCAATTCACTCCTCCTCTGTTTCTGTTCAGAAAGGGGCAGGTCTCCCATGGGTATGACAAAGCATGGCATGTCAAGTTGCAGTGAGACTGAGCTCCTCCGCTTGCATTAAGGCTGGGCAAGGCCACCCAGTATGAGGAGTAGGCTCCCAAGAATCATTATGTTGCTGCTACACTGATTTCCATTCACTCTGCAGATACCACGGTTTCATTATGATGGATGTACATTGTGTATTGTGTATCACCCTGATCTTCTGCTTCCCTCTCCCAAGCGATTGGATGATTGGCACATAATACCACATCTGCCATCATATCTTACCAACTCATGTTGCTCTTCATTCATTCATTTTGTGTGTGTGTGTGTGTGTGTGTGTGTGTGTGTGTGTGAGAGAGAGAGAGAGAGAGAGAGAGAGAGAGAGAGAGAGAGAGAGAGAGAGCGAGCACGTGTGTGCATGCGCATGTCCACACTGCGGCAAGCATGCTGTGATGGCTGTGTGTAGGGAAGAGGACAACCCTCTGCTGGAGTTGGTTCTCTCCTCCCACCATGCAGATCTCTGGGCGGGACCTCTTGTCATCAGGCCTCGCCTTGCAGCAGGCTTTACCCACTGAGCCACCTCACGGCCCACATGTGTTCTTCGTGGAGGAAGCTGCCTTCTTGGAGAGCTTTGTGAAAACGTAGATGGCTGAGGTTTTGCTGGTTTGTTGCTGGCCCGTCTGTCCTCTTTGACTAACCTCCAGGTTGGCTTTTGTGGCGGGGCTGTGCTGGTTCTGTGACTGTGGCTCTGTGGTGTGATTGGACATCGAGTACTGTGTCAGGGCCAGCACTGCGTCTCCTCAGGAGCTTGGTTTGTTTGTTTGTTTCCATGTAAATTTGAGGATTATTTTCTGACTTCTTTGAGGAACATTGTTTGGATTTTGTTGGGGTTGTGTTGACTGTGGATTGTTTCATGTCCATTTCACACTGCAGGTTACCTGGCCCTGAGCTTTAAAGGCCCTCTGTCTCCCTGAGCTAGCTAGGGAGCTATCTATCTGTTTATCTATCTGTCTGTCTATCATCTATCTATCATCTATCTATCATCTATCTATCTATCTATCATCTATCTTAGTTTTTCAAGACAGGGTTTCTCAGTGTAACAGCCCTGGCTGTCCTGGAATTCATTCTGTAGACCAGGGTAGCCTCAAACTCACAAAGATCTGTCTGCCTCCGGCTCCCAAGTGCTGTAACTAAAGGCATGGGCCACCATGGCTGGCTTTCACTGTGCTCTTGACCTTAGTTCTTCAGACTTGAAGGTTGTCGTGTTTGTCCAACGAGGGAGATTGGACTGTGTGTTCTTCCCTTGTGTCCTTGTCTGCTTTAGTTCAGGGAAACACCGGCTTTGTGCAGTGGGAGATGGTGTCCCTGTTTCTACCCATGAATTCTGCAGAGCCGAGCAGCACATACTGCCTCATGTCTCAGAGCTGTGGTGGGGTTTAAACGGAATGCCAGCTGGAGGACTTGGCTACTACATGTAGATTACAAAATGAAGGATGGAATAAATGAGGCCGCACACTGCCAGGACCCGGTTAGCCACAGATCTGTGAAGCAGCACCAGGCAGGCCTGCTCACCATCCGCCTGTTCACCCAAGCCTCACCCAGCATGTCCCGAATAAAAGCTGTGCTGTGGTGCAAGGGTCAAGCTCACTGTTCCCACTGGCAGGCAGCCTACTTAACCGGCGTTTTCCTCCAGGTCACTGACCACATGTACTGTGCCAAGAAAGCAGCAAGTCTGTGATCCAGCAGATGAGGACTCTGGGGACCCTGACTGCTTAGAAACAGTCAGGAGACAGGAGTCCAGGACCGACACCTTTAGACATATGCACAGCAGACGGAGAGCTGCTTTAGGAGAGGCTGGCTTAGGTTTTGCTGAGGAAACTGGTGGACATGATGAGGACTGGTTGAAATCTTCCCTAAAGCCATCAGACTGGCCTAAGTCTTCATGAGGTGCTGAGACTAGGTGAGGTACTGGGATGTCACATGACATGCCAGCAAACTTGTAGTTCTTTGCTGGTCAGTTCTGACTGCTGCAAACACTGACGTGGGACCACGCAGGACACACGGGGCAGTAAATGCTGCACAGGGAATCGGATGGAGATGGCCGAGGGGTGGCTGCCCATCAGCTTCAAATACTAGGACATGGCCACCTGCTGGACCGCCTGGCCACGGGGCCACTCCGTCTTAAACCCTTCAGATGTTCTATGCCCAGCGAGATGGACAGCAATGTGGAAACTTTGATGTTAAGTCTTTCCCTGTCACACTCCATCTTCCACCTTCCTTCACACCATCGTCTCTTACCTTTATCTTTTATTTTGAATACTCACAAGTAGGCTTTTGTTTGGGTAATGCTAAACAGACTTTTATTGTGAACAATCACAGCCAGGCTTTTACTTTTCAATAACATTGTTTAAGAACAAAACATTTCACATGCAAGCAAAATCTGTAAACCAAAGGTACATTCATTTTCATTTTCAGCAGTTTTAAATGAGTTCATTTTATAGCTAAGTAAAAGTTAAAAATCTACAGTGTAATGCTGAGGCTTTCTGTCTGCAGCAACACCCAGGACTCAGAGAGCTGTCTATATTTTGTCACACAGGATCACAGGACCCAAACCCGGGGCCACAGGCCACATCACAACCCACAGCTCTGCAGACCAATCCAGCCTCAGCCATGCACAAGTGCGAAGAACCCATTTCCCCAGAGAACACCCTGCACCCACCTGTGACACCACTCCCACTACTGTGAGATGGGGTGACTGTGTGGAAGGTGCTGATTACAAATGCACCCTGTTGTCATGAGGTCCACACTAGAGCAGGAATTGAGCACCAAAGTCAACACTACCACAGGGAACTTGTTGTCAAGGAGAGCATGGAGTCTAAAGAACCAAGTTTCCCATATGCTGGGAAGCTTTTGGTTAGGAGAGCCCTTCAGGCTGCTGTGAGGGGCCCAAGCCTGAGAGACAGGCCAGGCCAGGACCCCTCTGCCTCTCTGAGGAGCTCAGCCCTCCATCCCCTTGGTGCGTCTGCCCCCTGTGCATTATCCTGATGACATCTTCAAGTCTTGTGTGCTACTCCCAACTTGAGCTCCAGTCTCCTTCCTGGGACACGGCAGCCATTACTTTGGAGTGGCTCTCGGCCTGGCACCCCGTAGACGGCCCTGGGTTGGGTGTGGGGTGGCCTGTGGTTTGGGGGGGCGGTGCTCCATCTGCCATAGGTGCTGCCTCCCCCGGGCCAGGGCCTTCAGGTACCACTGCTGCTCTTTCCATTGCTGTTTCCGCTGCTCCAGCTTCTCCCTTCTGGCTTCCAGCTTGCAGAATTCCTGATCCAGCTGCTGGAGCTCCGTTCGCAGCTGCCGGTTCTCAGCAGTGACAGCCTTGCAGAAGGCCCTGTGAGCCTGTTGGACCCTAGCCTCCAAGGCCTTGGTCTTCTTCTTCAGCTCCCTGGTGATGTCCTTTCCTGAGTCCAGCAGGTTCAGTTCCTCCACTTGTTTCTCTAGGTCGGCCTTTTCCTTCAGGAACTGGAAGTGTGCCTCTCGGTCCATGAAGCGGATGTCAGACACGATGCTGGCTTTCTCCTGCTCTAAGGCCTCGATCTTTCGGTCCTGGCTCTCCTTTATTTGTGCTACGGGCCTCAGGGTCTTCAACTTCTTCCTGAAGCAGACCTCCAGCTTACTGCTCCCCAGTAGCTGCTCCTGGAGGTCAGCCGTGCGGGAGGTGAAGTCTGAGACCAGCTCTCGCCTCCATTCCTCAATCTTCTGACATTGACGGCTGTAATCTTTCCACAGGGAGTCATATTTCCTCTGGCTCTCCCCCTTCCTCTGTTTCAGGTACTCCAGGAAGGGTTTGCTTTCTGTTTCTTCCAATGACATTTCCGTCTGCATTTCCTTGATGTCCATTATCAGTACTGACCGCCGGCTCTTAACTGCTTCCATCTCCTCTTCTAGCTCCCGCAGGGCCGCTATGGTCTTCCTCTTCACCCTCCTCTCCAGCCGGGTCATTAACTCTGGCCTCAGATAGTTGTTGAGAATGGTCACATAAGGAGGTTCTGCAGGATAGTGTTGAGGGCCCACAGCAAACGCTCCTTTGGAGTCCTGGAGCTCACTGGGAATGCTCTCCAGGTCTGTGTTGCTGATGCTGACCACCGATGAGGAGGCACTGACCTGATGGACCTGCTTCTCAGAGGAGCTTTGGCCAAATAGGGGAAGTCCCTCCTCCTTTTTCTCCTGGTCCAGAAGAATCAGTTCCGGCCACCTCACCCGGAAGTCGCATATGGCCTTCTTCCTGGTCAAGGAAGGCCTGTAATAGATGTCTTCGTATGTGAAAGCAGGCTCATCCTTCCTTGAAGGAAGTGATGGGTCAGCAGCCCCACCTCCCTGCTTGTGGTGGAAAACGGTGGTTCTTCTGCCCCTGGTATCCCAGGTGGTATGACCCTGGTGGTGGGACTCCATAGTCCCTCCCCTCTGGGGTGCAGGGCTTTGCCCCTCCCAGATCCTGCTGCCTGAGGCTCAGAAGCTCAGCACCTTCTCCTGGCTACAGGAGTCCCTTCTGTTCATCCTCCTGGCTCGACAGTCACTGGTAACCACCACTTCCACGTCTCCCTAGTGTCAGCCCAGGCAGAGAAGAACGTGGACTGTTGGCCTAGTCATTAACACTTAAGCGGCGGATTTGCCTGTTGGGCGGGGCTGGGGAGGGGCGGGGCTTGTGTGGGCGAACCTGGAGCCCGGATAGACCCTGGGCTTGGAGCCATAGGGTAGCATACATCACGGTTGCAAGAAAAGCTGCAGCGGCTTGTAACTGCGGAGAGCAGCACGTGGGCTTTCTCAGCCATACACACCAGTTATGTCGTTATCCGGCGCCAAGAAGGCCCCTTGCACCCGTGACCTACACTGCGGGCTGGGCAGGAGTCCGGGGAGGAAGTGAAGGTGCCAAGGGCCGGGAGGCTCCAGGCTTCTGGCTTCGCTTTGCAGTGTGGTTTGGGTACAGCCTGGGTCTGTTCCGCCGGGTTCGGACTCCCTCCCTGCTCTCTGGGTTCCCTGGAGCATGAGCATCCTCCTGATGCCATGGCTGGTGTTGAAGGGTGGGGCTTGCACATCAAGCTACCTCAGTGTCCTAGGAAGGGAAAGCGGCCCAGAACGGTGCCCTGTACAGACACCTCGGTACCGCGGTTACAGGGAAAGTGAAGTTGAGAAGGCCCGGACTGTGGATGAATGCTCCAGGAAGGGGCATGGAGAAAGACCTCCCGGGAGCAGAGGAGCTGAGCAGAGCAGAGGCCCCCAGGATGGCCACTGCACTGGTTGGCTCTCCCTGCTGTGAGGGACAGCCAAGGCACTTCCCCGGGGAAGAAATCACTTGGCTTGTGGCACAAGTTTTCTGCCTCCTGGCAAGGAGGTCCAAGGGAGCTGCAGGAAGCAGGGAGAGGTGTCATTCTGTCTTGGAGGAGCTTCTGGGATAGGCCATGTGTAGTTGATGTCCTTCTCTGTGTGCCACCACTGACCTCAAATCCTACCCTGCTCCCGGGCTTTTGGGTCTCAGCACAGCTGCGTGGCTGCTCTGTGTGCAGACACAGACTGGGTGCCTGGGAAACACTAGTGAACAGGAGGAGGAGACTGAAGGACAAGGAGGAGGTCACTAACGCACCTTTAATCCCAGCACTGGGAGGAGGGGGCAGAGGCCGCAGATCCCTGTGAGTTTGGGGCCAGCCTGGTCTATAGAGCTAGTTCCAGGGCTACACAGTGAGACCTGATCCCAAAAGGAAGGAAGGAAGGAAGGAAGGAAGGAAGGAAGGAAGGAAGGAAGGAAGGAAGGAAGCAAGCTACCTGGGATGCTGTCTTTCAGTGATGGATGCAAGGACAGGCTTCTGTGACCTCTGACCCTCCCTTTGCGTCATTAACCATCACCTTCATCCTTCGTGTCAGTGGCAAGGCCTGGTCCTGCACTTAGATCTTTGCATCACCCCTTAATAAGGGTCATGGTAGCAGGCTTGAGCACAGTTCCTGCATAAGGCACCCCACCTCACTGTTGCCACACACAGTGGAGAACTCTGCTGATGGAGGGATCATAAGAAGCAGTTTGTTTTTCCCACATGAACAGGTGGGCTGTGCTCAGCAGGGCCTGGAGGACAACACCAGCTTCCGATGACCTCACCACCTTTGCTCAGCATCTTCTGCATCAAAGAGGGACAGACCCATGTCACATGCCCAGCATGTAGCCCCATGCCCAGCACAGCATGCACCACAAAACAGTGTTGTTCATGGGACAGGGAAGCCGGCCCTTCACTGTGCATGATTTGGCTTCGCAGTGAGACTCAGACAGGGAGAGCCATGTTGCAAAGATCTCTTCCAGAACCCAGCCGTCTACAGGTCTGCCTGTCCTATTGATAGGAGGGAGCAGTGTGCCCTGGTCCCATTTACCATCTGGACCACTTCATCCCTGCTTCCTAGCCAGGGCCTGACACATTGCATGTCTGAAGGAATTCTGTGTCCTTGAAAAAATTGATGGAAATCTTCCTTTTCGCTCACACTTGGCCTTTTATGGCTTTCTGTCTGCCTGAACCTGAGCCACTGGGATATTATGACTTGGTTGGAGTAAGATGCCGCCACTCTAGTGGCATACCTACACACAGTGTCCTCTGCTGCTCTTGGGAAGAGCCCTATCCCCAGAGCAGGGCTGGACACTCTGGCCGGAGGAAATACTCTTTCTTGCTCTGCCAGAACCCTTTCTACAGCTTTCCTGTGTTTTCATCAAGCCATCGCCTTTTGCCTCCAGCATTTCCTTTGGCTTCTTTCAGAATCTAGTTGATGTGCTGAGTTTTCCTTCATCCTTGTTGTTTCTGCTCTTTTGGGGGGCCCACCATGCAGCTCCCAAAGAAATCACTCACGGAGGCTTATTCTTAATTATGAATGCCTGGCCTTAGCTTGGCTTATTTCTTGATAGCTTTCCTTAATTTATCCCATCTACCTTTTGCCTCTGGGCTTTTCCCATTCGCTTACTCTGTGGCTTGCTTTGTAGCTGGGTGGCTGGCTCCTGATGCCTTCCTCCTTCTCTGTCTACTTCTTTCTTCTCTCTTCCCTCCCAGATTTCTCCTTCTGTTTATTCTCTCAGCCTGCCAGCCCCACCTATCCTTTCTCCTTCCTAGCTATTGGCTGTCCAGCTCTTTAGTAGACCATCAGGTGTTTTAGACAGGCACAGTAACACAGCTTCACAGAGTTAAACAAATGCGACATAAACAAAAGTAACACACCTGAAAATTCTGTTCTACAACACATGCTACCGACTCTCTCATCCATGCTGGTTACTGACTTCCCCTCCAGAGTGGACTGACTCACCTGCTCGTTAGCATCCTCTGTGCGGTCACTGACCATTGTGGTTTTTTGTTTTTTCGTTTTAACCAGAAATATTTTAATCTGCACCGGGCATTTTTCCCAGTTAAGTGTCTGTGCTCAGCAGTGGAGGTGCTTGCTCTTTTGGGGAGTCACACTGCCTGGCTTGGTCACGGTGCTTCTCTGCGTTTGTCGGCTGGCAGAGCACTTAGAGTTTTAGGGGGTCGTCCTCCTGAGGGGTCTGTTCTGAAGCCACAGGGAGGAGAAACAGGCAGCAGCCTTTTGCACATGACACACGTGCATTAAGGAGGAAGCACAGGCTTCGACAGGCCCACAAAACCAACAGCGGAAAAACTGTAGACTGCTATGGTGTTGGCATGACCTCAGCACCTGTGGTCCTGCACATGCGTCATAGTGAAAATCTTCAAAACATTAGATAATCATAAGAAGGAAGAGTGAAATAAAGTGTGTAAATGTTCCTGTGGGTGTGTGCATGCCTGTGCAGGCCGAAAGTCAGTGTTGGGTGTCTTCCTCAGTTGCCCTCCACCATATATTTGAGGCAGGGTCTCCACCTCCCTAGTGCTAGGATTTCTGCCATGCTCCGTCGTGGCTGCCTTCTCTTTGAGTGCTGAGTGTTAAACTCAGGTACTGCTTGCACAGCCAGCCCCAGGCATGGTGATCTAAACGGAAAACCAGGGAGCCTCTAGTGCCTCTTGTGTCTCCTCAGAGTGCAGAAGGAGGGCAGACCGCCACCGTGTGTGCAGATGGGAAGGCTGAGAAAACAAGGGGCGCTCAAGAAAAAAAAAAAAAATCAACAAAAACTGTTGCATAAACCCTGATGGGCTTAATAAAAATCCGGAGCCAGATATTGGAGTACATACTGAACGATCAGAGGAAACAAGCCACAGCTACTTCTCACCTCGCCAACTCCACGAATCCTCTGACTGAGTGTCCCCGAGTCCCCACTCGAAAGCTCCCTAGTTCCTGTCTCCTCACGCCTCATATGCCTTTCTCCGCCCAGCCATTTCACTTCCTGTCTCAACCTTCCTAGTGCTGGGATTAATGGTGTGTGCTTCCCAAATACTGGGGTTAAAGGTGTGTGCCACCACCGCCCAGCTCTGTTTTCTCTTCTAGACTGAATCAAGCTCATGTAGCCCAGTGTGGCCTTGAACTCAGAGATCCAGACGGATCTCTGCCTCCAGAGTGCTAGGATTAAAGGTATGTGCCACCACTGCCTGGCCTCTGTGTTTAATCTAGTGGCTGGCTCTGTTCTCTCATCTTCAGGCAAATTTTATTAGAGTACACAATATATCACCACACAAAAAAAACAAAAAACCAAAAAACTGCTGAACAAGAGTGGAAAGTCCGTAACCGAGGTTGGACGCATGTGCAGAGGCGATGGCAGATAAGAGCACAACTTCAAAAACTTCAGTTCAGTAGAAGTTCTGGCAGGAATTCAATAAGAAAACGGGGGCTGTGGTGTGGTGAGGGATGTCCTACGCTCAAAAAGCCAAAAACAACCCCAGACAAACGTCCTGAGTGACACTGGAGCCTCTTTCCTTGTGAGTACTGGGGAAGGGAGGAGCCAGGCTTTCCTGGGACTTGTACTGCTCCTCAGTCAGGGTTGGACAAGTGTCCACTGTCCCCGTGTCTGTGCAGGAGTCAGCTCTGCTGGCCACCGTCAGCTTTGTATCCTTGGGCCAGGTAGATTCTCTAATCGTCCCTGGATCCCACCCACCTTGAGGTGGCTGATGTTCTAGTCTAGGGTGCCGCCCACACGCGTTGGAAGTGTGGGAGTGCTCACGGCACTAGGTGTGTACAGCAGAGGACCCACCTTCCTACTTCCAAGACCTTCTGAGCGTTAATCACCTGCTGGAGGGACGCTTTTGTGGGTGTCATGCACACCCTCCAACTTCAGAGTTCTTGGGGCTTTGCAGCTTTGACAGACAGGTTTAACCCACCCACTTGGCTTGGGCTCAGAGCTATCAAGCCCCCAACATTACTCTCAATTAGTGAGATCTATTCCTGGCCACCAAGGACGGGGCTGTGTCTCTTAATGCACTTCCCAGCCTATGCCCACCTCCTGCCACCTACACCCTTCAGCTTGTCAGTGCCCTGCCCTCCTGCCCTCTGCTACCTCTCTGAGCCTTTCCTCACCTAGGGGTTATTGCAGCCACACTAAAACTCCCCACCTGTGGATATTCCGTGACCTCAGGCCAAGTTAGCTCAGTCTTCAACAAGATAGCATTCAGCTGTTGTGGGAAACGCCACTCTCAGAACAGACTTCCTGAGACTTGAGTGGAGAACGCAGTTTATTCATATCGGCGACTCGGGTAGCCCGAAGAACCCGGGAGGCCAGCTGCAGCCACTCGGGTGTTTATGGTGTCATTCTCGATTCTTCTCCTCTTTGGTGGGTTTCAGTTTTGGTCTCTGTAACTGAGCACCACAAGGGACTCCTGGCTGGGACCACAAGAGGAAGTTTCCAACAGCACGTGGTTACAGAGGCAGAAAGCAGGTCAGGCTGGCAGCTCTTTTACTAAGAGCTGCAACTTAAGGCTCTGTTGTTTTATTTTCTAGTGGACTCAGGTCTTCTCACAGCCGCAGGCCTTCATGGCAGATAGTGTGTGTTGTGTTCCTGGGGGAGATGGAATGGTTGTCCTAGTCAGGGTTTCTGTTGCTGTGATGAAACACCATGCTAAAAGCAGTTTGTGGAGAAAACGGTTTACTTGGCATACACTTCCATATCACTGCTCATCACTGAAGGAAGTCAGGACAGGAACTCAAGCAGGGCAGGAGCCTGGAGGCAGGAGCTGATGCAGAGGCCATGGAGGGGTGCTGCTTACTGGCTTACTCCTCATGGCTTGCTCCATCTGCTTTCTTATAAAACCCAGGACCACAATGGGCTGGACCCTCCCATTAGTTGCTAATTAAGAAAATATTCTACAGGATTGCCTACAGCCCAATGTTATGGAGGCATTTTCTCAGTTGGGTTCCCTCTCAGATGATTCTAGCTTGTAAACTTATGTCACGTTACATAAAGTTAGCCAGCACAGTTGTCTGCTTACCCTAGAGAGGGAGGCCATGGCACACCAAAGTATAGATACCACCAAAGCCCAGTTTGGTGAGCCAGTGAGTTTACTGGAGGCACTAACAGGAGTAGAGACAACTCAAAGATGGCTTACATCATTAACACTTAGCCAGCCTGGGTGACAGCTCACAAAGCTGGGAACCTGGAGCACACTGCACAGCCTGCAGGCAGCTCAACAGGTGCAGAGTGGCCTTTCCTGGTGCCTCAGTTGGTCTGAGCCTCTTCCAGGCAGCTCGGCTCCTCAGAGTGACTCTTAGCAGTCGTTATCACTTGTATCCTCTTGGGGAGGGAGGGGCCTAGTGAATCTGCTCAGTTTCAGGAACTTTCTGGAGCTGTTTTGAGTTGCTTCTTTCCTGAGCCTAAGGAGCTTCTCTGAAGGATGGAGTGTTTCACTGTAAACACCCTGAGTCTTAAAGAGCTTCCCTCCAGCCGGGTGGTGGTGGCACACGCCTTTAATCCCAGCACTCGAGAGGCAGAGCCAGGTGGATCTCTGAGTTAGAGGCCAGCCTGGACTACCAAGTGAGTTCCAGGAAAGGCGCAAAGCTACACAGAGAAACCCTGTCTCGAAAACCGAAAAAAAAAAAAAAAAAGAGCTTCCCTCCAGATGGAGGGTTCAAATGTCAGAGGGAACTGCTGCTGTACAGCATTGTGACAGGTGAGGTTCCCCTTTGTCACTGACTTGCCCCCTGTTTGCTTTGTGAGGGCTGTGGGCTCGTCTTGGAGGCAGGACTTTGTCTGCTTACCTGTTGGAAGTGGCTTCTGTTGCTCTGTTCTCCATCTGTGCAGCTCAGGCTGTTTGCTGCTTTGCTGGGTTTCTGGGTGGGTTTGTTTGTTTGTTTGTTTGTTTGTTTGCGGCTCTTTTCTTTCGTTATGGATTTCTGAAGCTCTCCCCCGATTTCTGTCTTGGGATCAAGGCCATTGATGAAATGACTGTTCCTCACAGGCTCACACAGAGTGATGCTCCTTTGTTTTCAAACTGAGACTTCACACATACTAGGCAAACGCTCCACTGATAAGCCATGTTTCAGTCCCTCGGGGCAATTCCCTAGAAGATACAGTTTTTAGACAGGATCTCACTGTAGCTCAGGCTGCCCTGGAACACACTCTGTACGTAGCCCAGGCTGATCATCATCCCTCAATCTCCCAACTGCCAGGAATGCAATCTGGAGCTACCCTGCCTGGCTAGGTGGTGACTTCAAGGGCCTGTGGCAGGTGCCACAGAGAGCCTGGATCCTGGTTGTGGCCTCAGAGACAAGCTACAAGAACTGTCTTTCTGCTCTCCCTCTGCAGGCTTTGGGCTGTGGTGTGGAACTCTCTGATGTCAGCTGCAGGCAGTTTCTGGATCAACTCATTGGATTCTTTCATTTCTACATGGGCCCTGTCTCCCTGGCCTACAAGGTAGAAGTGCAGATTGCCAGGGGCATTCGGCCCTTCAAAAGCAGTACTGCTGGGACCAGGCCTTCCTTGGGCCGGACACCTGTATTACGTGGTGCCATGTGACAAGGTGGCACGCCCTAGAGCCCCTTGGGGATGCCTGTGTCCTCATGTGTCTGCTCTCCCCTCCCCTGTGGGTTGGTGCCCCCCTTCTTCAGGATGGTCATTGGAGTGAGAGCTAAGACATGTGTGGCCGGGATGGGATGAGACAGGCCTGTCCATCCTGCTGTCTCCTGTTGGGAAGTCCCCTGCAGAAAGCAGCAACCCTTACTGAAGAGCCCGTGCCTGACCTCAGGTGCTGAGTCCCTCTGTCTTTATCTCAGAACCATCCTCAGGAGGAGCTGCGCTTGCAGTGGGACACTGTCATCACACAGGTCCTCAGGAGCACCAGTGAGTCCCACAGGATCTTCAACGCCCTGTGGAATCTGGACCACACCAAAGTAAGGCTACTGCCCTCTTCTTCACTGCCTGAATGGCATGGGGCTATGGGCGTGGGCCTGGGCTGCTGGGATGGGGCTGTGGGCGTGGGCGTGGGCTGCTGGCACGGGGCTGTGGGTGTGCAGGACACCTGTGGCAGGCGTGTAGCTGGAGAAGTGAGAGGACACGTGTGTGCTCCAGCAGTTCCCATGCTCTGCGGGGGTGAGGCGGGCTGCTGCCTCTCAGACCTCCTGAAGGCCAGTGAGGCGGCACCAACAGGCACCAAATAAATCTCACTGAATGGAGGGTCATCTTCGCCTCTGAACTCTCTCCACACACGGCATGGCTTCAGTGATTCCATCAAAGTACCTGGCTTACATTTGAACTCATTTGCATCTGAGAGAGGCAGGAAGGTCCTCTCTCTCTGAACCATTCCATTTCCAGTTCACACTCACCTAATGAGCGCTAGCTGCTGTGTGGCTGGCCTGGGTGCCTGTGCATCTCAGATCTGCCCTTTCCTCTCACTGCTGAAGAAAGTAGCTGGGACTTGGCATTTCCAGAGCCCACTGTGCCGGGCATGGGCTAGGTTTTCCCACTCATGTGGACAACTTGGAAGGCCAGTTGGTACTGAACACAGTCTGGGGCTGTGAGAGTGAGGTCGCCCTGTGTGTGTCCGGCCTCTCTTCTCCTGACCACCTGGCTCACATCAGTGCTGGCAGCCAGGCAGGAAGCCAGAAGGCTGCAGTGTCTGGGCGGTTCTTTGTGGTTGAGCAGCTGATTCCTTACAAGAACCGTGGGCTGTGATCCCCTCAGCTGGTCTCTGAAGCCCGCGTCACTGTTGCCCCAGGCACTTGTAAGCATGCTCACGGGTCCATGTCTCCTCTTCCCCAGGTGGAGCCCCTGCTGCTGCTGAAGGCAGCCCTCATCTTACAGACCTGCCAGCGCTCGCCCCATGTCCTAGCTGGCTGCATCCTCTATAAAGGACTGTGAGTTGGGCCTCCCTCCCCGTGTCCCCAGTGAGCTGGGCCTCCCCGTGTCCCCAGTGAGTTGGGCCTCCCCGTGTCCCCAGTGAGCTGGGCCTCCCCGTGTCCCCAGTGAGCTGGGCCTCCCCGTGTCCCCAGTGAGCTGGGCCTCCCCGTGTCCCCAGTGAGTTCCCATCACTGTCCCCCGCTAGTTCCAGATTAGTGTCTGTAGTTGTTTAACAAAGGCCAGGTCATGGAGATTGGCCGAGGGTGCATCACCGTGCAACTGGGAACTGCTCAGGAAAGGGACACTTGCCTCTGGGTGTTTGTGCACACATACACACACACACACACACACACACACACACACACACACACACACAACAACAACAACAACACACACGATAAATGTTTAAAAAATTTAAAAATAGTGTTTGTTTTCTCACTCATTTTCTATCTCACATATATAATATATGTAAGTACATATATATGTGTAATAAGTACATGCACACACTTTATTTTGAGACAGTATCTAACTGTGTAGCCCTGGCTGTCCTGGAATTCTCTATGTAGACCAGGCTGGCTTTGAACTCCCAAAGAGAAGTTGTCTCTGCCTCCCAAGTGCTGAGACTAAAAGCATGTGCCATCATGCCCAGCCCTCTCTGTACCAACTACACAGAGAGTAGAGGCCCTTCTGCCTTGCTCTCAGCTGTGCCTGTGGCCAGCAGTGTGGAAGACGTGCCACACTGTGCTCCTGTGCAAACTCCCACACCGATGCCCTCTGCTCTCTGTGCAGTGGGACACAGCACTGAGGTCTTGGCGTGTGCATGGAGGCGCTTTTGCTTCTGCTGGTTTAGACATTCCCACTGTACAGAGCCCAGGCTGGCCTAGAGCTCAGGGAGGAGCGACCTGACCTGCAGTTGCACCAGCTTCCTGCCCTCTGAAATGCTGGCTACCTTTGTGCTCCAAATGGTTGGCTCAGTGACTCTCTTCCAGTGCTCACAGGGGGCTTACCTGTGTTTTTAACATGCCTACCATCGTCGGACACCTCACTCATCCCTGCCTGATTGGAGAGCTTACATTTTGACTCTCAGTGGGGACTGCAGAACAGAGAGCCCTTCACCAAGGATCTACTAGATGAAACTTCTGCCAGCCACATCCCCAGGATCCTCTACCTCCAGGGATACTGGTGTCTCTGGAGCTGAGAGGCCCCAGCACTTCTTTTCATGGTATTCTTGTCCCTGTGTTTTACCCCCAGGATTGTGAATTCCCAGCTCCCTCCTTCCCTCACTGCCAAGGTCCTGCTTCATCAGACTGTCCCTGCAGACCAGGTAGAGTACAGCCTGCGACCTGGTGGGAGGTGACCCAGAACACCTGCCATCCAGCTGTGGGGGGCTGGAGCCACATGGCGGACAGGTCTAGGGCACTTGCTTCCCTGACTGTTACAACTCTTCGTCCATCAGTGTGGTCAAGGAGTAAAGCAAGGGTGAACGCCAGCATGTGCCCTGTCGGGGGCTTGGGCACTGGTTCTTACAGGCCCAGCAGAGCGCGTGCATTCAGCTCTCCACTAGCATAGTGTTGATAACAGAGGGCACCCTGGAAGGAATATATGCTTAAATTAGCAGGAAAACCGCTGGCCATGGTGCTGGGTGCCTCTCGTGCCAGCCCTGGGAAGCTGAGGCAGGACGGTCATGAGTGCAGAGCTCCTGTAGGCTACATACTGAGATTCTGTCTCTAAAACTAGAGGAAAGGAAGAAGAAACAGGAGGGAAAGGCGGAGGGAGACACTGAGCTTCGAGTGCATTCATTGTGTGTGTGTGTGTGTGTGTGTGTGTGTGTGTGTGTGTGTGTGTAGAACAAAATTGTCCACAGGCAGGTGGCATGGTGGTGCACACTCCAAAGGCAGAGGCAGGTGGCTCTGTGTGAGTTTGAGTCCAGCCTAGTCTACAAAGCGAGTCCCAGGACAGCGAGGAATACACAGTGAGAACCTGTTTAGGGAAGGGAGAAAATGGCCCAGACAACAGCATAAGCTCCACAGCTCTCACCAAGCAGTTTCTGTCTAGTCTCTCTCCCTCTTTCTCTCTCAGTTGTTTTGTTTATTTTGATTTTGGAGATGGGGGTTCCCATTGGATAGCCTGGTCTACATAGAGAGTTGAACTTCTGATCCATCTGCCTCACCTCCCCAGTGCTGAGGTCCCAGGATGACCCACCAGCCTGGCTTGTTTTGGGAGCATTTGCTTCAGATGCTTCACTGGCCTCTCTCTCACCATGAGAGTGCGTCGACATTCAGAGCCTGGTGGGCTCTGGCTTCCTGTGGGGGGTGTGTCTGGAGGGCTGCCCTCACTGTCAGCAGTTTGTGCCTTCAGACGCCCTTGCCCCTCAGCTGCTGGGATTCCATACTGAGGAAAGGCAGCGCTCTAGCCTGCTAGTGAAGGGGGAGCTGGTGGGACTTGACTGCCTGAGGGCGCTGCAGCCCGGCCTGCTGATGTTGCCACAGCAGTAGTGTTGAGCTGCTCTCCAGCGCAGCAGCCAGGATCAGTGGTTGGGACAGAGGCTCAGGGGCCCTAAGGCTGGGAGCCTGTTCTCTAACCTGTCCTGAGGAACTGCTAGCGTCTGGTCTGTGGCTGAGGGTCAATTGATTTGCACGAGCTGCTGCAGACTTCCTCAGGTCTTAGTCAGAGATTTTACAATGAGTGCAATCACTTATACTGTTTTAAGTGAAAATACTGAATTTTATTTAATGTGTCAAAGTAGTAAAAGGCATTTCCTTAAAGAGGAAATTCCCAAGTATTAACAGGATTGTGAGCTTCAGAGAGAGAGGGAGAGTATATAAATTGTCTGTTTGTTTATTGCTGCTGGGGATCGGAGCCCAGGGTCTTGAGCTTTGCCCCTGGGCTGTATGTATTCCAGCCTCTGTGGCTGCACTCTAGACTTGGTTCCCAAAGGTGGACTCCAGTGGGGAATCCTTGCTTTGGTCCTTCATGGGAGACACTTAACAGTTCAGAGCTGCCGCTTTGAAGCCTGAGTGGGCCCAGTTCTTGCCTCCTCCTGGCCTCTGAGAAGCAAGTGGCCCCGCTCCATCTGCTGGGCTCTTGGCACAGGGTCACACCGGCTCCCTGGGCTTGGCTGAGTCCCGTGAGCAGATGGTGCCATGAATTCCTAGTGGTTGTCAAGAGGAGAACATGGTGCCTGGAGCCAACCGGTGTGTGTTTGTTTCAGGGACTTCCTGGAGCAGGGGCTGCCCCACAGGACGCAGGTATGTGGTATGGGACAGTGGTATCTGCCTTCATGCCGGGATGAGCCCCCTGTGTGGATTTCCTCTGCTCAGAGAGCAGATGGGTCTAGTACAGCTATAAGGACAGTTACCCCTTGGCACCCCGATTTCCAAGGTCATGGTTTTGGGCATGCCCTCCTTCGACTCCATTCTGTGACGTGGTCTGGGCGTGTCTGGGGTGTGGTGATGGAGAGAGGAAGAAAACTGGTGACTGCTGACTCCTTCAGGATGAAGTGGCTTCCCCAAGAGGCTCTGCCTCATCCAAAAGCTGGAATTTGCTGGGTCCTTGGCCAGCTGAAAGCCGTTTCTTCCAACATCTTGTCTGATGTCCCTCTTCTCCACACTGCAGTGAGGTCGCCACACTCACAGCATCTAGGCTGCGGCTCTGGGACTACTGTCTGAGCCAGGTGTGGTGTGAGGCGTGTGAGTGCCCAGGACCCACCTCATGCCGGGAGCCCCGCCCATGTTGTTTTTATCTACAGGAGCAGCATTGCCGCCTAACGTGCAGATCACCCCGGTTTTTCTGAGTGAGGAGGAAATCGCTAGCCTCCATGAGTTCACAGTGGAGCAGGAGACTAGGTAGGTGGGGTGCTCCTCTTAGGGCGTGTGTGCTCCCCACTTGCATCCTCCACTGACCCCAGGTGTCCTAGCATCGGGGGATGCAGCAGACTCAGGGTGACACCCAGTGTGAGGCCACTCTCAGGAGACCCTTTAGTTGTAGGTGACGTGGCCACCTCTAGTCAGTGATTGTGAGCTCATGTGACAAGCCCTCACCAGTCAGTGCCTGTCTTTACTTTTGTGTTTGACCATGGTGGCGTCTGGAGCTCTCTGGGTGCAGATGGCTGCTTGTCATTGATGCCTGCGCCTTTCAGGGGATCAGAGCCCCAGTGTCCCCACGGAAGCCTGTGTCCTACACTCCACTGATGTGACATCTCTTTTGTTTGCCAGACTCCAGGAAAGTTCATCTCAGTACCCTCCCTGGGATCGAAGCACCCCTACCCAGACAGAAGATGCCACTAGGTGTGTGGCATCTGTGGCCTGGACATCAGCCGCCATTCTGGAGCCCACACCTCATGATGGAGCATGGCTGAATGGCAGGGGGGCAGATGGACACTTGCTTGGGCAGGAGCAGGAGCAGGAGCAGGCTGCAGCTGCAGGACTGTGCACCACTGCCTGTGGCCAGGGTTCTGGCATCAGCAGCAGGCTGCAGCAGGAGCTGGGTTTTTCCCAAGAGGCACTGGACTTATCTGAAATCCACATCTCTGAGGCACAGGAAGCCTCCCCACCCGTGCCTGCCCTAGGTGATCCAGAAGCTGTCATCACCAGCCACCAGGCCCCCACTCTGCCTGAAGACACAACAGTGTGCAGCTGCCTGGACCCTTCCCCTCTCGAGAGGCCCCCCGAGAGCGGAGGGCTGGAGTCGCTTGCAGACCTTCCCATCACCAATGGCCAAACCCAAGTTCCTGGCACAGACCCTCTCCCCAGAAGAAGCTGTAGGCCTGTGGTGCTTCCCCCTCAGGATCCTGTGGGTGCAGAGCCCAGTGTGGAGCAGTGTGGGGGTGGAAGCTGTGAGAGCCATGGAGCCCCAGCGAGCACTTTGCATTCACCTGACTCTCAGGGTCCCAGCACCTCTGCAGACAGAAGTGGCTTCAGGCCGTCCCCAGCTGGGCCCCATGCAGGGCTCTGGCCTATGAACCTATACATTCACAGTGTGAATGGCCTGGTCCTATCCCTGCTGGCTGAGGAGCCTCTTCTCAGAGACATGGCAGCCATCGAGGAGGTGGTGAGTGTCCCCGGCTCCCCTGTACCCTCATCTTCCTCCTAGGAACATGCATCAGCCAGCCCCCTGGAAAGAACCCCCCAGTGTGTGTAGTGAGGCTGAGGGTAGTGCCCACTTCTGTGAGGTTTTGGGGGTGTGTAAGAGTGAGCCACACATGCATCATAGCACCAGCAGACAGATTTTAGGCTCTTCCTTTTCTGCTTCTCTGGGAGCACTCCTTTTCTGCTCCCCGAAGTCTGGGAGCACGGGTGTTGGGGAAGGAAGAGCTGAGCAGAGTGTCGTGCACACAGCTCCCTCCGCCCTCTTGTTTCCTTCTCGGTAGCCTGCAGTGGTGTTCGGCTTCCCACTCGGAGGTGGTGAGGTCATGCAGGCAAGGCTGAGCTGCCCGGCTCCTGGCTCAGCTCCTAGCTGAGGCAGCATGGGCACTGTTACCAGCAGCACATCACAGCCTGGGTGGGGTTGGGGGTCCCAGGAACCCTGCATTTTCTTCCTAGGTCAGCCTCACATGGTGACTTGGTGCTCCTTCCCAAAGTACGCTTGAGATCCAAACTGGCAGTGGAGGGCTCTTTTTGAATAGCCATCCCTTCCTGAAGCAGTGAACTGAGCTCTAGGGTCCAGGCCCACGCTGGCAAGAGAGTTGCTATGGTAACAACATTGCTGTGGTTGGCAGGAAGAACAGTTGCTGCAGGGCAAATGGTGTTCTGGGGCTCGACTTGTTTTTCTTCTTAAATCCACGTTATTCTGAGGCCGTCTCATTGACATGCATGCCTTGCGGCCCTCCACTGAGGAGCCAGTCACCTTGGAATGCAGGACAGGCTGCTGGGCAGCTTCTCTGTAAGATACCTGACTTTTCTGTCTCCTTCCACAGACCCTGCCCACAGCCCCGAGTTGAGGCTTGTTGCCTGTGTCCTCATTTAGCAGAGCTGTGGGTGGCTGTGTTCACCTCTGCTTTAGGCCAGCGAAGGGTCCTGGCTGCAGCTTCATGCAGGGCAGCTCTGTGCCTTGGCTCCCCCCAGTTCTTACTGTGCGGGGGGGGGGGGGGCTCAGGAGTGTTTGCTTTGAAGGCCCTGGTGTTTGAATGCAGCCCCTGACCCTCTGAAGAGACCCAGCCCAGGCTGCCTTGGGGAGGGGTGGTCTGCGTGATTGTATGCTCAGCTGGCTTGCTGTGCTAGCCAAGCGGAGGGTGGTTCTGGAAGGCAGACCCTGCAGCTCCTGTCCTGGGAGGAAAAGAGCCTCGTGAGGTGGAGGCCCCTGAGTTCCCGGTGATTCTCACCACTCACTCCTCACTTCTCTGTCCCCAGGCTGCTCTGCTCTTGCTGATAGGTTGGAAGGTGAGCGGAGAGTGCCCTGCCCTCTGCAGCCTCTGCTGTGTGGAGACATTTGTTATGACCACAGCCTCCAGCTTGCCCACAGAGTAGGGTTGGTGCTGCTAGGCCCAGGAAGTGGGGTGCAGGGTAAGGGAGACAAACGCCAGTAGTGCTGTCTACACTGGGGAGCTGCTGACTTTGAACGGTGTGCTGATATAAGAGAGTGAACTTGAGCCAGACAGACCCCCAGTCTGCTCTTAGGAGAGGTTTGTTACTGTCTGTCTTAAATAGAGTAGACTTGAGTAGAAAATGTTCCACCTGGTCTCTCCGCAGCTTTCCTGCTGCTTCCTGGAAGGCAGACAGAGTCTCTACAGCGTGGTCCCACAGGCTAGCCAGCCGGAGGGTACACAGCCCACTGGAGAGGCTCTGTCCACACGGAGGGGAGGAGGCAGATGGGGCAGTGGGGGATGAGGCTCCTGAGCCAGAGAGCTGTGCTGTCACAGGGAAGTGCAGGCGGCCCCCAGCAGGGGGCAGCTTAGTGTTCCAGAGCCTGGTTTTCAGCTCTGCACCCACCATATTCCCATGAGCCTTCAGTTGCAGGGAGCCTATGAATACTGCTGCATTAGGCCATGCACAGGGGCATCAGGGTTGGGTTGGGTTGGAGGCAAAGCCTGCTTAAAGTCAGGGTGGGAGCATTTAGTGAGATACCCAATGGAAAAGCTTCCCATCTCAGCCATGTGGGCTACACACACTGCTCCCCCAGCCCACAGTGCTCCATCGCCTGCCCTCGGCTGTGGTGTGGACTGAAGGCAGAGCCCTGTGTCTCTGAAGGCAGAGCCCTGTGTCTCCTTGGGCCATTCTGAGATCATAACCAGTCAGAGCTTTTTATTCAGGACTCAGAAGGCAGATGTTTTCAGCCTTGTGTGGTTCAGAACCAGGCAGTGTATGAATGGTGTGGTTGTGACCTTCCGTGACGACCTATAGACTTCTCACAATACTGTACAAATACACACAAATGCTGTAACGTACAAACACTATCCTCAGTGGCTAGGCTGTACAGAAGCAGGTCACTTGGATTTAACCAGGCCCCTGCATTGAGTCATCAGAGAAGTCTCCTCCATATTGTATCACATATCTTGTGAGGGTTTATGGCTAAGCAACTCTATCTTGACTACAAGCCAGGCAGAAAATTTTGGAAGTAGAGCCTAATACATTTAGAGAGAACAGGATTTAGTTGGCCCACTCTCTGGTTCAGGTTTCCCTATCTCTTGTTAGCAGCTTGAGGGGTAGCTGTTATCAGGTCCCTAAGATCCAGAAGGTGTAGTGCAGCTCCATGGCGAGCTCCCCTGGGTGTCCAGTGCCCCCTCCAGCTCCATGGTGAGCTCCCCTGGGTGTCCAGTGCCCCCTCCAGCTCCTTGATGAGCTCCCCTGGGTGTCCAGTGCCCCCTCCAGCTCCATGGCGAGCTCCCCTGGGTGTCCAGTGCCCCCTCCAGCTCCTTGATGAGCTCCCCTGGGTGTCCAGTGCCCCCTCCAGCTCCATGGCGAGCTCCCCTGGGTGTCCAGTGCCCCCCTCCACTCCATGGCGAGCTCCCCCGGGTGTCTGTGCCCCCTCCAGCTCCATGGTGAGCTCCCCTGGGTGTCCAGTGCCCCCCCTCCAGCTCCATGGCGAGCTCCCCTGGGTGTCCAGTGCCCCCTCCAGCTCTATGGCGAGCTCCCCTGGGTGTCCAGTGCCCCCTCCAGCTCCATGGCGAGCTCCCCTGGGTGTCCAGTGCCCCCCTCCACTCCATGGCGAGCTCCCCCGGGTGTCTGTGCCCCCTCCAGCTCCATGGCGAGCTCCCCTGGGTGTCCAGTGCCCCCCCCCAGCTCCATGGCGAGCTCCCCTGGGTGTCCAGTGCCCCCTCCAGCTCTATGGCGAGCTCCCCTGGGTGTCCAGTGCCCCCTCCAGCTCCATGGCGAGCTCCCCTGGGTGTCCAGTGCCCCCTCCAGCTCTATGGCGAGCTCCCCTGGGTGTCCAGTGCCCCCTCCAGCTCCATGGAGAGCTCCCCTGGGTGTCCAGTGCCCCCTCCAGCTCCATGGCGAGCTCCCCTGGGTGTCCAGTGCCCCCTCCAGCTCTATGGCGAGCTCCCCTGGGTGTCCAGTGCCCCCTCCAGCTCCATGGCGAGCTCCCCTGGGTGTCCAGTGCCCCCCCTCCAGCTCTTTGATGAGCTCCCCTGGGCGTCCAGTGCCCCCTCCAGCTCCATGGCGAGCTCCCCTGGGTGTCCAGTGCCCCCTCCAGCTCCATGGCGAGCTCCCCTGGGTGTCCTCGTGTCACCCCACTGCCACCCCCCACCCCTGCCCGGCACACACAACTTTGTAGCCTGGGCCTGTTGTGTCTGCTAACCCTGTCCTGGTGCGTGTCCCGACCGTCGGGGCAGAGGTGGTTCTGCACACACCTGGTTTCCTCAGCTGCGCACTGGGAGGCCAGGGTTGAAGTGCCGGGCACTGACTGTGTGTCCATTGACTCGTTCGTGGGATCTGCTCCCACACTGCTTACCTGCGGGAACAGGGTGGGCTCATTCCTCCAGCCTCTCAGAGCCGCTGAGCACAGGCCACTGGACCGCATTCCTCCATCCTTGTAGAACTGCGCTTTCTTCACGGGGAAGATTAACTCCTGATGGACTTGATCCAGGCCCTGGGAAACACTGGGAGCACAGTAGGCCACCCGTATTGTTAAAGCCGACGGTCCCGGAGCTGGAGAGATGGCTCAGGGGTGAAGAGCACTCGCTGCTCTTCCAGAGATCTTCCAGAGGACCCGAGTTCAGATCCTAGCGCCCATATCAAGCAGCTCACAACTACCTGGAACTCCAGCTCCAGGGGATCTGATGCCTTCCTCTGGCCTCTGCACACATAAGGCAGATAAATTAAAAAATAAGTAAATATTGAAATAAAACAAGATGGATAGTTCCCTGGGGCTTCTGGGATGCCACAGCTAGGCAGCCACCACTGGGTGGTGACATCGCGGGTAATTTTTCTTTTCTTTCCCCCTTTTCTTCTCCTCCTTTTTCGTTTCCTCCTTTCTTCTACCTATGGTGGCCTCAAATTTGTGACCCTCCCATGTCAGCCTCCTGAGTGCTGGGCTCTGGGTTAGTGCTACCATGCCTCACGCTTCTTAACTTAGAGGCTGCCCATTTTAGCATCACACAGTATGACCCTTCATTTACAAATATCAGACCATGGGGCTGGAGAGATGACTTAGCAGTTAAGAGTTGGCTCTTGTTCAGGGGACCTGAGTTCAGGGCTAGCACCCACCCTGGACAGCTCACCATTGCCTGTACAGCTGCTCAAGGGATGGGACACCGCTTGTGAGCTCCACACGCACTCACTCAACACAGCACACACACAAAAAGAAAAATATATGTATATATGAACATAAGGGGTTTGGGGTGGTGCACACTTATAATCCAAGCATCCAGGAGGCAGACGCGGGAGGCTTTCCACAGGTTCGAGGCCAGCCTGGTCTCCATAGTGAGTTCCAGGCCAGTTGGGGCTGCACAGGAAGCCCTGTCTCAAACAAGCAAAAGGAGCATGTGAGTGGAACTTGATGCTTCAGGCGGAGGCCCTGGCTGTTTTTGCTGAGTCTAGTGACCACAGAGGCATTGTCTGGGTGCTTGCTTCTTAACCGAGTCTGCCAGCCTGTGACCCACTCCTGGCCCCTCTGCAGTACCACAGCAGCCTGGCATCCCTGAATGGGCTGGAAGTCCACCTGAAGGAGACACTACCGAGAGACGAGGCTAGCCTCACAAGCAGCTCATACAACTTTGTGCATTATGACCGAATCCAGAGCGTGCTCACAGGTAAGGGGCAGGTAGAGGGAACCCAGCTCTACAGGGGTTGGGGGGGAGAACCCAGCCCCCGTCATGGCAATGCAGCAGGGCATAGCCCTCTGGCCACAGCTAGGGTATAACCACTGAGCTCACTGGCCAACGCTCATTTGCTCCTTTTCAAGCTTGCTCTTTCCCCAGTGGGAACTTGGGAGTTAAAGCATCTGTGGTAAGGTTGGCCCCAGGGCAGGAGTTGCTGTGGCTTGCAGCTGGCTGGCAGTGCTCTCTCCCAGGCAGCAGCAGGGCCGGCCCTGGGGCTGTTTGCCCCCAGGTCTCTCGCCTACACTCAGGCTTCAGCCTCGCTGCCCCCATGTCCAGGACTGGGCCCCAGGAGTGGGGGAGGGCTGCCACTCACCACCTCTGTCTCCTCCTGCAAGCCAACCTGCCGCTAGTGACTGCTCCCCAGGACCGCCGCTTTCTGCAGGCCGTCAGCCTCATGCACTCCGACTTCACCCAGCTGCCGATGCTGTACGAGATGACCATCAGGTGAGCCTCTGAGCCCCTCACAGCAGCTTTGGTGAGTGTGGGTGGTCCCTTTGGAGACCTTCCTCCCATGCATGCACAGGTCGGGTTTCCCCGAGTCTTCCCTGCTCTAAATATGCAGGTTACAGCAGTGGCATAACCCTGAGTCCCCACTGTCACAGAGCACAGGGCTGCACGTTCCTGAGGGCGGGCCCAACAACACTACAGGCTTCTGATTGCAATGTGCTCACTGCAGAAACCCCATCCACACCAGAGCCAGCCCATGTCTCCGTTTGTGGCGGTGCCGCAGGGCACTTCTGTTGCAGTTTTCGTTCTCTGTGGCTGATACAGACAACACAGGGTTGCATTTCCTTCCCCACTGTCACACTACCTCCTCTTCCAGGTGTCGGTGCAGTCTGTGAACTATTCCTGAAACTAGATGCTTAAACAAGCCGTGTTCTTTCTCTCTGTGCTTTCTGAAGCTAGTTTTGGAAAGTCAGACATGGTAGAGGGCTGGAGGGAGAGCCTCCCCCGCCCCCTCCATCAGCCTGTCGGCTCTTGAACTGGCTGTGCGAGCACACTCTCCCTTCATAGTGAGAAACGTGAGCATATGTGGGAGCAGTGATGTCCCAGGTCACAGTCTCACGAAGCCGAGGGCCAGGGTTTGACTGCAGGCCTCCATGACTGAGGGCGTGCTCTTCCCCCATAGCTCTCACTAGTTGGGCGAAGACCATGGGCTCAGTGGGGGCACTCAGAGCCTCAGTGATGACACTCCCCTGTCCTATCACTTGTCACACTGATGCCGCCGTCTGCCCTGGTGTCATCTGCTGCTGATAGTCTGTCCTCTCTAGCTGGCAGCCGAAGTGTGACTTACATCTGCAGCCACCGCTCTGGGACCTGGTGTGCAGGGTGTGTGGCTGCTGAGTGGGAGGTGGCGGCAGGCGAGCGTCGACATCTGCCCCGCCAGCTGCTGGTGGCCGCTGTGCTTCACCTTCCCTGAGCTGAGAGGGTTCAGTGTGGAGGAGAGCCCAAGGCATGCTGGGTGGGTTCTCACCACAGTGATGGGGGCACAGTTCCTTGGCACATGCTAAGGAGTGCACCCAGACTCCCGTGGGCTCTGTAATAAAGCCAAGAGTTCTCTGCTTGCCAGTAGGAGGGCTGGCATTGCCATACAGATGTTTTCCCACCAGGCCACACTCCCTTTGAGCTTTGAGAGGAATGCCTCACAGGAGCTGAAGACCCCTGTGCCAGCCAGGTCCTGCAGGTGCCCAAGGCCTGGAGGTTCCTCTTCCCCATCCAGCAGGAGGCAGCTGAGGGAAGGAGCCTTAGCCCTGACTCAACTGTTGCATGCTAGAATCAGGGAAACCGAGGCTTGTTAGGCTAAGGCCTCAAGACAGGAAGCATGTGGGGGCCAGAGTTGACTGGGTGGGTCTGTTAACAAGTCAGAGTCTTTGGTCCTGCACCTGGATGGGAAGATTCCCCTGAGAGATGGGTTAAGACGAAGCTTACCTAGCAAAGTGGAGAAGTTGGGGCAGCTGTCCTCAAAGTGGGGGAGCATCATAGGGGATACCGATGGTGGGTTTTTTAAAGAGTGTGTGTGTGTGTGTGTGTGTGTGTGTGTGTGTGTGTGTGTGTGTCTGTATGTGTATGTGATGTGCGCATATGTGTGTGTATGTCTGCATATGTTTGCACGTGCACCGCAGTGTGCGTGTGGGGTCGGAGGACAACTTGCAGGGGTTGGTGCTCCCCTTCCACCGTGTGGGTTCCAGGATGGAACTGAGGCTGTCAAGCATCCCTCTGGCCCTGCATGGGGGATTTTTAAGGCGTTCTTATGAATATTTATGAGATTGGTGGTGTGTTCATGGAGTAAAGTAACCCTGTTTCTTCCCAAATTGCCCCGTTAGTGTATTTTTCCCAGGTTTGGGGGAAAGAGCATAGGGGTGGGGGGATTAAATCCACAATGCAAATGATGCTGGCGTGGAGAGTGCCGGCCCTGGGGTAGTGTTCACATGTGGTGTGGGAGAGTGCTCTGCTGTGTGTGTCTGAGGGGCGTGGCTTCAAGGATGTGGAACAGAGGAGCAGAGTGCTGTCAGGAGCTTAGCTACCAAGATGCAGCTGCAGTTCCCGTGGTTACACCACACCCACCTTCGTGAATACCCATCGCAGGCCCTCATCTGCCACTCTGTCCCTCTGTCAGCCTGTGGGTCCAGGTTTCCTCCTTCCTGTCACATCCCACTCCTCTGTCACCTTACAGTCATCAGAGTACAGCAGCATCAGCCACCCTCCTAAGCCTGGGCTCCTTGGCCGGTGGGTGGAACAGTCCCTCCTGCCATTGTGAGGGAGGGAGGGACATGAGCAGGGCTTTTGCTCTGCTGCTGTTAAACTGACAGCAGCCTCAGGGTCCATTTCTTCAGTGACTTCAAACCCTGGCTGGAGCCACCTCTGGTCCACTATGCATCATCCCAGCCCCTAGCGAGCTGAAGAGACAAGGCAGCTGTCACCCAGGCCTGCAGCTCAAAGGGATTTCCTGAGCCATGGCAGGCACTGGGGTACTGGGGCGGCCAGCCAGGGCCCACACTGGCACCCCTGAGCTGTCCTCTTTCCTCCCCAATAGGAACGCCTCCACAGCTGTGTACGCCTGCTGCAACCCTGCCCAGGAGACCTACTTCCAGCAGCTGGCGCCCACTGCCCGCAGCTCTGGCTTCCCGAACCCTCAGGACTGTGCCTTCAGCCTCTCAGGCAAAGCCAAGCGGAAGCTTCTGAAGCACGGGGTAAACCTGCTGTGAGCTGTGCACAGCTGTGTGTCACCTGGGCCGTGCAGCAGCCCCTCCAGACAGTGTCCCCAGTGCTAAGGTTGAGCAGGACCTTGCTCCTGAGTGGCAGCTGCATGAGATCGAGAGGGCTCGGCTTCTGCCGTGTGTAAGTGACTTGACTGTATAAGGTACAGAGCAGTCTGCAGCCTCAAGGAATCTCAGCTGACAGTTTACTCAAGGTACCAATGGTGCTCTGCAACCTTGAGATGCTGAGTTTCACGTTTATGAAACAGATTCCCAAGGGCTCAAAAATAAAATGACCAAACTGAGTTCTATGTGATTGACTAGCATTTCCGTGACAGAATGAAGGTCAGTGTGTGTGCTTCACCTGGGAGTGTGTACATGTAGTTCCCTCCATGCCCCTGTTCCACACTGAGGACTCTGAGTCGCTTCTGTTAGAGCACAGAGTGTCTGCATAGAACCCACATACACCGACCTGTAAGTTGAACTCATCTCAGGTGATTGACAGCACCGACCTCCCAGACCTGCTGTGGAGGGATTTCTGTACTGCGTTGTTGAGTCTGCATGGTGACAGCGTGTGATTTCATTTCCCATATGTCCCTGGGCTCACAGGTGTAGAAACCGTGGGTCTGCAGAGCTGGCTGTGTGTTTTTCCCATGGACTGGACACACCAGTGTGCCCGTCTGCAGGGCCATAAGGCACAGTGACCCGCAGCCTCTCCCTGAAGCCCCTCCAGCTACTGGCTGGCCAGAGACTGGCCTCCCTGCCAGGAGGGTCTTGCTCTCAGCCAGACACAGCTTAGTGATCTCTGCTTCTGAACAGTTCTGAGAAGTAATTCATTCCAGGTGTGTTGCCAGCTCTCACGAAACCCCTGATGAATTTACAGTTTGTTTTACAGCCGAGGGGTGCTCTGCACAGCACACTGTCCCTCCTGCCAACTGGTGCTCAAGACCTTCTAAGTCCTGGCTCTAACCTCTATGAGAAGACAGCCTGTGGCATGTCAGAACTTGTGACTCGGGCTTGGAGGCATCCCACCTTCCTTCTGTGACCTTGCTAACTACCTGTGTTTGAGGACTCTTCCAGAAAGCTCTTTCAAGGAATGCCACTGACCTCCCTCAGTCCTTGTGTGACATGGCGCTGTCTGCAGACCATAACCTCCCCCACCCACCTTGGCAGGGCGGCTCTGAGTCCAGCAGTGCTTTGCACTCACACACACTCGTTCTGAGAACCAGCGCTGTGGAAAGCCATACGCCTCCCCGTTAAGCTTTCCCCAAAGTGCACTTGTAACCAAAGGTGGCATGAGCACCATTGAGTGGGAGGCCCTGAATGCAGGGTCCTTTAAAACATCCCCAGGAGTTTTCCTATAAATCAGGAACACATTCTGTCTTGAGCATGAACATGTCAAGTGGTTAGTTTTGTGTGTATGTTGGGGGTGGTATGTTGTATGGTACATGTGTGTGGAGGAAGACAGAGGACATGGGGTATCCTGTCATCCCCCACCTTATTTGATACAGGGTCTCTCTCCAGAATGAGCTAAACTGCCTTGCCCCTCAGTGCTGGGGCTGCAGGTGCATACATAGCCACACTCAGCGCTTTATGTGGGTCTAGGGATTTGAACTGGGGTCCACATGCTCAGGCGGTAAGCTTGCTCTTACCCTCTGAGCCATCCAGCAGTCCACACCTGTAATCCCAGCTCTGAGGCGAGGCAGGAAGACCCTGC